CCACAACCAATTGGCACTTTAATGGTAGATTGTGGCGGCAGATGAAGAATGCCTTGTGTGAGTAAAAAGTCTTGGAAACTCCAGTCAATTGAAAACCAATTAACACTTTATTTGCATGTAGCACTACCCCCTTAGGGGTCGCTGAGTTATTTTCAGGTTCTCTATTGTTCTGGACCCCTCTCTGAAAGCCTAACCCCTGCTAACACCACAGTTCTCTTCTGACCAGAGTAAACTATCACCAGAAATTAGACTCAAACACAGATCGGAGTGAACTGATATGTTTATATTAAACTTGACTGTACGCTCGATCAAACAGCATGAAGTGATATATGTGTATGTATTGGCAATCCTCACTCTTAGCAACTCTAAGCAAAGAAAACAACTCATACAGCAAAACCTCAATCAGTGTTGGCAGGCCTGTTATTCAGACGTTAACCCAAAACCTCCAAACCTGAGGTATTTCAAGTCCCTAATGAGCAAGGACACTATCAAAGGTTGAACTAGATCACTTTGGCTCCACAGGATCTGATGGCCAGGTTTAAATCTGAGATAGGAAAGAGCTCTTTAATTAGGGTAGTCAATGTCCCTTTAAATGCAGTGAGGAATATTCTCCATGCTCGTTGGGGCCCAGTTGGTGCGCTACAGCGATCCAGATATTTTAAGTAGGAATAAATGAAGGTGAAAGTCCCTCAAAGGATTAATACAAGAAGAAGGAAGGACAAGAGCTATCTCTTTAAGTGGCACCTAATTTGGGTGGAGTTCTTTTGATGCACTAAGCAATATGCAAATTCTAGGCAGAAAGGGTGTCAAAAGTTATCAGAAGCACTTGCTGGCAATGGGCAACTCCTCACTGGAATGCAATGACTAGTAGCAGTGGTGGTAGATATTCCTTTAATTGGGTAGGACAATGGTTAAGAGAAATGATATGGATTGGCCTGCAGAAGGCGTGCACTGTGGTCAGCTGATGATTGAACTATGCTGTAAATGTGTTCAATAGAGGCAGCCAGGGAATTAGGCCGCAGCACATGTTAACTATATGAAATGTCCACAACTGTGTGCAGGAAAGTAGCAGATTTGGCAGGAATGTCACTTGTTCGGCTGGTGTATGGGATGCTCTCACCCAATCTGTGGCATCACTCAGGTCCCACCTGTCTCTCACTCTCTGTGGATGGGGGCCCCCACAGGTTCTCCAGTCCTACTTCCAGCGTTCTGTCTGGGCACTGCACTCCAGGTTACCTGCTGACAGACTATCTCGCTGAACAGGGTGTCAAGGCTGGCAGTCAACAACTCCTCCATACCTTTCTAGCTCTGCAGCCTAGTCCGGTACTCTGGCAGTCAACACAACTCTCTCTCTCCACTTCTGCTCTCCAGCTCTCTCCCCTCTCACTTCCTATCAAGTTTCCCAGGCCTCTGTATATAAATTCCACCTCCCACACACCAGCTCTTCTGGGAAATGTAGTCCTCTGATACATTGCTCCCCAGCAAAGTCCCACGATTTAGCATACAAGACCCATGGGGCTGTTCTACAGAGTGTGAGTGTCAGTGAATTGCAGGGCACTGCCATCCTGAGTTTCTCTTAACATCCTGCAGCTTGCCTTTTAGCAGGGTGTTACATGCATATGACATAAACATAAGTGACCAGGGGCGGAATGACAACTCATGGGACCCTGGGCAATAGGAAATCATGGGGTCCCTGTGTCCTCTTGCACACTCAAACCACATCCAAAAAAGCCTATGAAAGGTACCAGGGGCATCTCATGGGGCCCCCTACTGCCCCAGGGCCCTCAGGCACTGCCCGAGTGAATAAATGGTCAGTCCGCCTCTGTAAGTGACTGAACGTGGCCCAGTTGTTGGTGTCAGATGGGCTGGTCTGAGTATTTAAAAAAAACTGCTGATCTACTGGGATTTTCCCGCACAACCATCTCTGGGGTTTACAGAGAATGGTCCGAAAAAGGGAAAATATCCAGTGAGCTGCAGTTGTGTGGAGGAAAATGCCTTGCTGAGGTCAGAGGAGAATGGGCAGACTGGTTCAAGATGATAGAAAGGCAACAGTAACTCTTATCAATATGGACCAAAATCTCTGAAGAATGTTGAATCTATACCACGAAGAATGAAGGCAGTTCTAAAGGCAAAAGGGGGTCCAACCCGGTACTAGCAAGGTGGACCCAATAAAGTGGCCAGTTAGTTCATGTGGATTGGTTCCTCTTTTTAGAGAAAATTATTGAAATCTTTTTTTTCTTCTAGGTCGTCAGCCATCCTGGGATCAGCCAGCTAATAAAATCTCAGTACAAGAAGGACGTTCAGTGATCCTTACCTGCTCCTACACTCTTTCTGGCAGCCACTATACAGAGAGAGATGTTGTGCGGGTCAATGTATACTGGAGGGTGGGGAATGTAACCGGACCCTACGCCTACCACCCCTACCGGGAAATGGTCCATTCTGCATATAGACATCGGACATATATAACAGGAATGACTAATCTAATGATAAATGATGTGAAAAAGACAGACAATACTTCATTTCACTGCTTTGTGGTGGTCAAGCTGTGCGCAGGTGACAACAAATATGAAGATAAAATTAGATACGGAGGAGGAACCAGACTAATCATCAGTGGTAAAGGTAAGGGGTATCGGGGGAATTTTTAATTTCACTATACATCTGAAACTAATCATTAAGTGTAACAATAAACAATTTTCTAGTACAGGGCTTGTTCATTTTTATGAAGGTTTTTGCAAAATTGCTTTAAAGGAAAGCTTTAATAGTTTGGTCAGTTTTATTTACAATTTATTACATCTATGCGTTTTTTTAAACATTATTTATATCATTTCAATAAAATCTTTGTTTCGCCAGGGCTCAGTCATGACATTGCTCTAAATCAGGGGTCCTCAAACTTTTTAAACAGGGGGCCAGTTCACACTGTCCCTCAGGCCGTTGGAGGGCCGGACTATAGTTTTTTAAAAAAAACTATGGTCATCTCCAGTACTGTGTCCGCATTTGTTCAGAGACTGCGGACATACAACGGCGGCGGGAATACTGGGCTGGCCCCTCCAAAAGACGCATAGACATTTACCCCCAAGTGTGTCTTATGGAGCAAAATAGTGTCCCATCATTGGTGTCAGTGGGAGGAATAGTGCCCCATCATTAGTATTAGTGGGAGGAATAATGCCCCATCATTGGTGTCAGTGGGAGGAATAGTGCCCCATCATTGGTATCAGTGGGAGGAATAGTGCCCCATCATTGATATCAGTGGGAGGAATAGTGCTCCATCATTGGTATCAGTAGGAGGAATAGTGCCCCATCATTGGTGTCAGTGGGAGGAATAGTGCCCCATCATTGGTGTCAGTGGGAGGAATAGTGCCCCATCATTGGTGTCAGTGGGAGGAATAGTGTCCCATCATTGGTGTCAGTGGGAGGAATAGTGTCCCATCATTGGTATCAGTGGGAGGAATAGTGTCCCATCATTGGTGTCAGTGGGAGGAACAGTGTCCCATCATTGGTATCAGTGGGAGGAATAGTGTCCCATCATTGGTGTCAGTGGGAGGAACAGTGTCCCATCATTGGTATCAGTGGGAGGAATAGTGTCCCATCATTGGTGTCAGTGGGAGGAATAGTGTCCCATCATTGGTGTCAGTGGGAGGAACAGTGTCCCATCATTGGTATCAGTGGGAGGAATAGTGTCCCATCAGTGGTGTCAGTGGGAGGAATAGTGTCCCATCATTGGTGTCAGTGGGAGGAATAGTGCCCCCTCATTGGTGTCAGTGGGGGGAGGAATAATGCCCCATCATTAGTATCAGTGACACCAATGATGGGGCACTATTCCTCCCACTGACAGCAATGACACTTAACTAGCCGACCCCTGTTCCAGCATCCCTGGTTGCAGCAGCACCATCTGCACGGCTCACTTACCGGGCGGTCAGCTGTCCTCCTTCCTTCACTCCGGCCTCTCCCTCACTTGATTTTCGCGGGGCCACTAGGCTCCGCCTCCTCACTGGTGATTGGCCGCCTTTGTGCCTTTCCTGAGCTACAGTACTGGCACCCAATCACCGGTGAGGAGGCGGAGCCGAGCGGCAGCACGGACATCGAGTGAGGGAGCGGCCGGAGTGAAGGAGCAGCGCATCCTGGACTGGATCGTTGTGGGACTGGGACCAGAGCCAGGTAAGAGACAGCAGCCCCCTGCTCGCCCCTGTACTTAGTGTCCCCTGGCGGCGGGCTGGATGAATGTGCTCAGTGGGCCGCATGTGGCCTGCGGGTCGTAGTTTGAGGACCCCTGCTCTAAATGAACATTATAGTTTTTCTAAACACAGAAAAAGCTGTTTGCTTTCAGACTCTTTGGGGCTGATTTACTTAAGCTGGAGAGTGCAAAATCGGATGCAGTCATGCATGGTAGCCAATCAGCTTGTTCCATTAAACTTTGACCAAAAAAAACCCTCCAGTTTTAGTAAATCAACCCCTTTCTGTCTGATTTAGCCACTTCCAGTCCGGACACTTTTACCCCCTTCCTGTTCAGGCCAATTTTCAGCTTTCAGCGCTGTCCCAATTTGAATGACAATTGCGCGGTCATGCAACACTGTACTCATATGAATTTTTTTGCATTTTTTTTAAGACAGATAAAACTTTATTTTGGTGGTATTTATTCACCACTGGGATTTTTATTTTTTTTTGCTATATAAAAGAAAATGTCCAAAAATGTTTTGGAAAAAAGTGTTTTTTTCTTATAAAATTTTGCAAATAAATAATCTATCTTCATAAATCTTGGCCAAAAGTATTCAGTAATCTTTTTAGTAAAGAGAATTAGTTTATAACCAAAAATTATAATTTTTCAAAGAAAAGTTTTACATTTCTATTAAATTTTTTAATATTATTATTTATGTTTTTTTTAACATACTGTCACCCTAGCAGTACAGTTCACCATAGTGACACTGTACTACTTGTGGGGGGTGATGAAGATTTTCTTTTTTTTTTTTTTACACTGATTGCTTTTACACCCATAAAGGCTGTAAAAGCAATCTTTTCTCCTTCTCTCTAGCTGCATTCTTTCAGCCATTGAGAAATACTGTGTGAGCTGTGATTGGTCACAGCTTGTCACATGGTACGAGGCTGTTGTGAATAGCCCTGTACCATGTGACCTCTGTGATCATTCACAGATTTCACACGTAGTAAGCAATGATGTCAGAAGTGACATCTTGCTTACTACTTTGCATGTGATCACTGATTGGCCAATCAGTGATCACATGATCGGGACCTCACACAGAGGTCCCGTACAGCGATTGGGGTTCACGGTGCTGCACGCTCCCAGGGAGCACGCACAGGCTAAAATAGCAGGCGCTGTTTATGAACGGCAACCGCTCCTGCATTGCCCCCGTCTGGCCGTTTATGTACAGTTGCAAGAAAAAGTATGTGAACCCCTTGGGATTACGTGGAGTTTTGCATGAATTGGGCATAAAATGTGCTCTGAACGTCATCTAAGTCACAACAATAGGAGAACACAGTCTGCTGAACATAATACTACACAAATATTAGATGTTGCCATGGTTTAATTGCACATAACAAATAAACATTCACAGTGCAGGGAGGAAAAAGTATGTGAACCTTTGGACTTAATAACTGGTTGACCCTCCTTTGGCAGCAATAACCTCAACCAAATGTTTCCTGTAGTTGCAGATCAGACCTGCACAACGATCTGGAGTAATTTTGGACCACTCCTCTTCATAAAACTGTTTCAGTGTAGTAATATTCTTGGGATGTCTGGTGTGAATCGCTCTCTTAAGGTCATGCCACAGCATTTCAATCGGGTTGAGGTCAGGACTCTGACTGGGCCACTCCAGAAGGCGTATTCTGTGCTGTTGCAGCCATTGTTTTGTTGAATTACTTGTATGCTTTGGGTCATTGTCCTGTTGCATCACCCATCCTCTGCGGAGCTTCAGTTGGCGGACAGATGGTCGTACGTTTTCCTGCAAAATGTCTTGATAAACTCTGGAATTCATTTTCCCATCAATGACAACAATCCGTCCAGGCCCTGAGGCAGCAAAGCAGCCCCAAACCATGATGCTCCCTCCGCCATGTTTCACAGTGAGGATGAGGTTTTGATGTTGGTGTGCTGTGCCTTTTTTTCTCCACACATAGTGTTGTGTGTTCTTCCCAAACAACTCAATCTTGGTTTCATCTGTCCACAGTATATTTTGCCAGTAGTGCTGTGGAACATCCAGGTGCTCTTTTGCAAACTTCAAGCATGCTGCAATATTCTTTTTGGACAGCAATGGCTTCCTCTGTGGTGTCCTCCCATGTACTCCATTCTTGTTTAATGTTTTCCTTATTGTAGATGTGTCAACAAAAATGTTAGCATGTGCCAGAGATTTCTGTAGGTCTTTAGCTGACACTCTGGGATTCTACTTTACCTCATGCAGCATTCTGCGCTGTGCTCTTGCAGTCATTTTTACAGGACGACCACGCCTAGGGAGAGTAGCAACAGTGCTAAACTTTCTCCATTTGTAGACAGTCTGTCTTACCGTGGACACATGAACATCAAGGCTCAAGGAGATACTTTTGTAACCCTTTCCAGCTTCATGCAAGTCAACAATTCTTGATTGTAGGTCTTCTGAGAGCTCTTTTCTGCGAGGCATGGTTCACATCAGACAGTGCTTCTTGAAACCAGTAAACCCAAAACAGGTGTGTGTTTTTTAAGGGCAGGACAGCTGTCAGCAACACATCCAATATCATCACACTGATTGGAGTCAAGGTTGGCTGACTCCTGGCTCCAATTAGCTCTGGGAGAAGTCATTAAGCTAGGGCCTCACATACTTTTTCCTCCCTGCACTGTGAATGTTTACATGTTATGTGCAATTAAACCATGGCAACATCTAATGTTTGTGTAGTATTATGTTCAGCAGACTGTGTTCTTCTATTGTTGTGACTTAGATGACGTTCAGAGCACATTTTATGCCCAATTCATGCAAAACTCCACGTAATCCCAAGGGGTTCACATACTTTTTCTTGCAACTGTACATGGGTCGGACGGGAAGTGGTTAAAGTTCATATAGAGTTACTTTAAGCACTTCAATACCGGACACTTTAACCCCCTTCCTGCCCCGGCCATTTCTCAGCTTACAGAGCTGTCACAATTTGAATGACAATTGCGCGGTCATGCAACACTGTACCCATATAACATTTTTATAAAATTTTTTCGCACAAATAGAGCTTTCTTTTGGTGGTATTTAACCACCTCTGGGAGTTTTTATTTTTTGTTAAATAAATTTAAAAAGACCAAAAAATTTTGAAAAAACTAGTTTTTCTTCGTTTCTGTCATAACATTTTGCAAATAAATAATTGTTCTTCATAAATTTGGACCCAAATGTATTACACTACATTTCTTTGGTGAAAATAACCCAAATCAGTGTTTATTATTTAGTCTGCAGGAACGTTAGAGTCCAAAAACTATGATATGTATATCTGAAAATTGATCAACCCTGATGTACTGACAGCCATATCTTCAAGCACCAAAACACCAGGGGAGTACAGATATCCCCAAAATGACCCCTTTTTGGAAAGTAGACAGTCCAAGGTATTTAGTAAGAGTTTTTTTTGAAGTTGTAAATATTTGTAATTTTTTAGGGAAAATTAAGAAATTAAAAAAAAAACATATTGTCACAGTGTCGTACAGCGTCAGCATATAATTGTTGTGGCAGTGATAAGGGACACCGACTTGTGACAGTATGTAAAAAAAAAAAAAAAATTAAAAAACAATTTTAAACATTTTTTATGATTTTTTTTTTTTTTTACATACTGTGACCAGAGCAATACAGTGTTACCATAGTAACCATTTTTTTTACACATTATGATTGCCTATAACATAATTTCACTGTTATAAACAACCATTTTTACTGAATGAAATGAATTCATTCAGTGTGTATTGTGATTAGCTGTGGCTGGCACATGGTAGAAATGGGCTGTGATTGGCCCTGTCTGTACCATGCAATCGCTGTGACCAATCACAGCTAGCAACACAATTGTACACAATAAATGGCAATGAATCAAAGGGTTAAGGTTTACAATTGTAATGTGACCTGCTGTGATTGGTCACAGCGATCACATGGTACCGGCAGCGGGACGGTACACTGATCAGTCATTGGCTGTGTCCAGTGGACACTAGTCGGTGACAGATCACGCTGCATTTCATCTTAAAGTGTATTTTCATGTTTGTAGACAAATACAAAGGCAAAGGATAACGCCTACATTATACTTGATACATGTTCTCTTTAAGATAGCGTAACGTAAAGCTGAATTCCAACTGCATGACATCTCCTGGGCTTGTCTCTATTTTTTACATTTGAAAGGTTTATTGCTCTGCCTAGGGGTGTTTTATAAAACCAGTGGGCCCGTGTGCAGGATCATAACGTGGGGGCCCTAGACACAGTGTGCGCTGCAACGCAAGGTGTGTGTGGTTTAAATTGCGCTTAATATTGGGTGTGACCAGGGGCGGACTGACCATTTGGAAACTCGGGCACTGCCCGAGGGCTTTGGTTCAGAAGGGGGCCCCATGAGATGCCCCTGGTACCTTTTTCATAGGCTTTTTTGAGTTTGGGCAAGGATACAGGGGCCCCATGATCCCCTATTGCCCAGGGGCCCCATGAGTTATCAGTCCGCCCCTGGGTGTGACCCTACAGGTCATAATGGGCCTAGAACTATTGCTGTTATCCCTGAGTGCGCAACAAAATGTAACATGTTGTCAGGCTCCGCCCAACGGGATCTCTAGTGATCCACAGAACGGGATTCCCCAGGAAGCGGAGTCTAAGTCCCAGTCTGCCTTTTCACCAGGGCCCCTGATGGTGGGGATGGACTTGGTGCAAGACTGGAACCAGGTCGCGACCCCTGGGTGCACCCAACTACGGTAGAGGGGTCCCGCTGGGGGTATGTGCCAGGGGTGAGCCTGCTGTGAAGGGGTTAACAGGTCCAGGTCCCGAGCGGGATGGATGGATGACAGTCAGGGAGAGAGCGTGGTCAGACTAGCCGGGTCGGTAACAGTGGAGGCGGATAGGTACCAAACAGCAGGCGGAGAGTAGCCGGGTCACAAGCCAAGGTTCAGCAACTGAGGTCCAAATAACAGTAACGGCAGGCAGAGGAATGGTCAGGGATGAGCCAGGGGTCAGAGCAGGAGAAGCTCAACACGGATCAGAACAGGCAGGGTCGGCAACAAGGAACGCACTACAGGAACACAGGTAACAGGAACTAGACCTTGCGGCAATGTGAACACTGCCTGGCCAGTTTAAATAGTGCGCCCTGCACCGTCATTGGTGCCAGGCGCGCCCGCGTGGCCACAATTGCTGCCGCGGACGCCCAGGTCCTAATGCCTGCATATTGATATAGGCGATCCGCGCTAGCGAACCCCGAGGTCCCTGACGCATGTAGTACAAGCGTTTTCATTAACCACTTACCGTCCGCCCCGTTGGGCGGCAGGTGTGCAAAATCACATATATATACGTGCTTACGCATTTCAATCGATCGCGGCCCCTGTCAGTCACTGAGTCCCGGACGATGATTACACATCGGTGCCTGGTGATTACCGAGGATCACTGGCAGGGAGGAGGGCTGCTTTGTTTACCAACAGTCCTTCTCCCTGTCAGCTTGGGCACACTGCTCTGGATTGCTGAGCAGAGTCATCCAGAGCAGTGTGCTTTACAGTGAAGCACATCTTCCCCCCCCCCCCCCCGACCCCACCCCCTAGCAAAACACTTCCAGCACCCAGTTACCCTTTGATCACCCCTCATTTTTAACCCCTTCCTGCCCAGTGCTATTAGTACAGTGTCAGTGCTTTTTTTTGGCACAGATCACTGTATTGGTGTCACTGGGGATGTCAGTGACACCAAGTAAGTTCCCCCCAGTGTCAGAATGTCCTCCTCATTCCCGCTACAAGTCGCTGATCACCGCCATTATTAGTGTAAAAAAAAAATTCCAGTATCTATACTGCCTTTGTAAACTTTCAAGTAAACCAATTCATTTACGCGTGTTGGGATTTTTTTTTTTAGCAAAGACACGGAGCAAAATACATTTTGGCCTAAATTTATGAAGAAATTAGATTTTTAATATTTTTTTTTACTGGATATGTTTAACCGCTTCTGCACCGCCCTATAGTAGAAATACTGCTACAGGACGGCACGGGTGCGCAAAAATATACGTGATTCGTGCTTCCGCGGTTTTCGCACTCCTCTCAGATAGCATCAGATTGCCCCGTCAGTACACCAGTAATCACATTTAACCCCTTGATCTCCAGGAACATCCTCATACACAATAAACCTTCATTGCTAGTATAGTGTCTGAATGGTTCAATATCTTTGATCAGTA